AGGAGGGGGTTCAGGGGGGGCTCGTGGTCCAGGAAATCGTAGAGGATGTTGAGCAGGGTCTCGTCCCCACCCAGTTTGTCTCCAGCCTGGCCTTGGCCACTGCCAGGGATGCAGGGGCAGCCCCAGCTGCTCTGGCAATTCCAGCCCAGCCAGCAATTCCCAATTCCCAATTCCCAACATCCCAGCCCCATCTCCCCTTGCCCAGGGAATTCCCTCCATTCCCTCTCTCCAGCCCTGCCCCGGCTCCGCTCCAGGAAGGAATTTTGGGATCCAGGGGTTTCCCTGGGAATCTCGGCACTGCAGGAAGGGTCTCCCTTCCCTTTCCCAGCCCCAACTTCCAGAAAAATCCCTCGGGATGGATTCAGAGCCTCCCAAATCCCAGAATGGTTTGGGATGGGATCCAGGGACCTTCAATCCCACCCCATTCCAATCCCACCATCCCAGGCTGCTCCAAGCTTTCCTTGGCCATTCCCGGGATCCAGGGCCAGCCCCAGCTGCTCCGGGAATTCCAGCTCTTCCCCACCCTCCTGGGATTCTGGAACTCCAGCAGAAGCCAGGGAAGGGTGAAGGGGCCCTCGGGGATGCTGGGGCTGGTGCTCAGGCACTGGGGGGCTCACCTGGGGTACCTGTGAGGAGCTCACCTGAGTGCTCCAGCTGCCCCCACCTGCAGCTCTTGGGTTTCTCTGCTCCTCTGGGTGTTTTTAATTGAATCATGGAATTGTTTGGGGTGGAAAATCCCTCGGAGCTCATCAAGTCCAACCAGCACTGCCAGGGCCACCACTGACCAAGTGCCACCTCCACAGGGCTCTGAATGATCCAGGGAGAGCTTCCAGAACATTCCAGAGCCTGAAGGGGCTCCAGGAGAGCTGCAGAGGGCTGGAGAGGCAGGACACAGGGAATGGCTTCCCTCTTGCAGCCATCCCTGAAATCATTTCAATGGGATGATTGCACATTATTTTCCTTGGCTGTGCTGCCCCATCCCAGCCCATGAGGGATTTGGGGTTGATGGAATTTCCCAAGCGCTGGGGTGGCTGGACTGGAGCGCCAGAAAAAGGGGGACAGGGTGGGAATTGGCACCGTGCACCACCCCAAAAGCAAAACCCCATCTCCAGGCTCTGGTTTGGGCAGCAGGAGGATGAGGAAGGCGCTCCCAGCTCTTGGGATCTTTTCCCAGAAATGTTTGATGGGTGTGGGGCCGGGCTCAGGGATGTGGAGGGCTCATCCCAGCTCCTGCTCCCCTCCTGGATGGGTGGGAAGGAGGGAATGGGGCAGTGCTGGGCTCATCCAGTGCAGCCCCAGTGCTCCTTGTCTCATCCTGGCTCAGATTTGGGTCAGATTTGGGTCATTTTCCCCACTTTCCATCATCCTCCATGTCCTCCCTCCCTCTGCTGCCCACCCAGAACTCCTGGACACGGAGCTGTGCCTCTCTCAAGAATCCTCTTGGCACCTCTGTGTTTTCCTGGAGCCTTTTGTGATGGGTGATTCCCATTCCATGCTCTCAGCCCGGGATCTCTCCGTGTTTCCAGCGGGTTCTGGGATGTGTCTGTGGGATTTATCCAGCCCTGGGTGCCCACGCAGGGATTATCCCCAGGGCCTGCCTGCCTCTGGCAGTGTGGGAATGTCGCTTCTGCTCTGGCTCCCCGGAGCTCTGTGCATCCAAAACAGCCTTTTCCTCAATCCCTGTCCAACTTTGGAATGTTTACAGCGTGTTTGCCCAATTTTCTGGCCGTTAGCCAGGGGTTTTTGGGGGTTTTGGGTGCTTTTTTTCCTGGGATTGCTGTGTCTGGAACCAGTGAAATCCCCCAAGGGTACGGGGTCAGCACGGACATCACCGGATATTCCTGAAAATCCGAGTGGGACAGGAAGCTGATGTTGGAGAAAACGTTTCAATTTTCGGTGTTTCTGTGGAATCTCTCGTTAATTCCCATTTTCTGGTATTTTTCAATAGCCTCTTGCTCATTTTTCCCTGACCTTTGCTCCGTGTCTGACTGACTTGGTTTCACCCCTCGTGTGTCGTCTGGGTGGTTTGGAGTTGTTTATTTTATTGCTGAACTCTTTGAGGGTTGGGGATATTTTTTTTTTTTTATTCCATCTTGGTAAATCCCAAGATGTTTTTCCTGACTTTGGCTGAACGGGGGGTCAGTCACTTGTCGAGGCTTTGGAAAAACCTAAACCCACGCCGGGGATGGGTTTTATTTGGGTCAAATTCCAAGTTGTTTTTTTCCTTTTTCTGGGAAATCAGGGGTTTTGCTCTGGGGGAAGTGAAGCTGTCTGGGGCAGAGCACTTGGGACAGCGGGAGGTGTCCCTGCCATGGCAGGGGGGACACTGGAGGGGTTTTGAGGGGTCCTTTTCCACCCAAACCATCCCAGAATTCCAGGATTGTCTGTTTTCCTGGCAGAGCAGCATCATTCAGAGATGAATGTTTGCTCTCTCAGCTCTGAGCTGTCTCTCCAAGGCGGGGAGCTCCGTGTGTGGAATGTGCCAGGCACATCCCTGAGGAGCGCTCCTGCTCCAGCTGGATTCTCCTCCACAGAACGGGGGATTCATCTTCCTCACTCCAGCCAGGCTTTCCTGGCTTCCTCAAAGTCTGAGTGAGCCAAGGATTTCCCTTCAGTTCTTTGGGGAAATGGGGGATTTGAGGAGCTCCCAGAGTCTCACAGAGCTCCTTTCCAGCCTTGCCCCCTTCCAGGGCAGCTCCCAGGTGCGTGCGGGCCCAGCCCCTGCCCGGCTCTGTTGGCTTTGGGTGGAGGAGCAGAGCTGTGTTTCCTTCTGGGAAGGCTCTGATGGAGCCACATTTCCCGTCAAACAGAGCCTCTGGCCCTGGCTGAGCTGTGGGTGTGCCTGGGGGCCAGGGAATCCCGGGATGGTTTGGGATAGAAGGGACCCCCGAGCCCCCCAGTGCCCCCCTGCCATGGCAGGGACACCTCCCACTGGCCCAGGCTGCTCCCAGCCCCAGGCTCCAGCCTGGCCTTGGCCACTGCCAGGGATGCAGGGGCAGCCCCAGCTGCTCTGGCAATTCCAGCCCAGCCAGCAATTCCCAATTGCCAATTGCCAACATCCAGCCCTGTCCTCTGGCACTGGGAGCCATTCCCTGGCTCCTGGCCCTGCAGCCCTGGCCCAGTCCCTCTCCTCTTGGCAAACTGTCTTCTCCAGGAACTTCCAGTGCAATGGGGAATTTCAAGCCACGTTTTGTATTGATTTCTTCCCGGTGTCCCGTGTCAATCTCCCCTCCTCAGCTCAAATCCCTGGGATCAGCCGGGAAGGGCCCCATGTCCTGCTGAAATCCAGGAGCCAGCCCAGGATCACTGCTCTGGCACAGCCAGACCGAGCAGTCCTGGAATCTCCTGAGCTGGAAGGGACCACAGGGATGGTGGATCCAGCTCCTGGCCCTGCACACACCCCCAGCAATCCCAGCCTGGGCATCCCTGGCAGCTCCTGGAGCCCCCACAGCCTCGGGGCACCCTGTGGGGCAGAACCACTCAGCTCCGTGACCTTGGGACTCATCCCAGCCTGTCCCAGCGTTCCCAGATAATCCCTGTGGGTGGTTTTGGGGCTCTGGGTGCTGCTGGGGTCGCACTAATCCCGGTGGTCCCCCGGGTGTGCACTCCCTGCTGCTTCCCTTCCCATCTCCCTGCTCATTCCCAAGGATTAGAGGTGAGGAGCTGCTCCAGGTCACTGGGGCAGGGCTGGGATTGTGGCTGGACCCTCTGGGCTCGTGTGCCGTGGGGTTTGGGGGGAGCAGGGCTCCTCTCCAGGCTGAGGGGCAGCTCCAGGGCTGCCCCTGCTCCATGGGAGCAGAAAATTCCCTGGGAAATGCCGATGAGGAAGCTGAGGGCTCCAGGGCAGGGCCATTTCCCCATCTCAGAGCAGTCTGCGGTCACCGGGGTTTCAGTTCCCCTTGGCTTCAGCCTCTTCCTCCTCCTGCGCCCTCCGCTGCTCCCACTGCCCCAGCAGAGTCAGGGCCCTGGGGAGGATGGAGGGGATTCACTTCTGCAGCACAGATCCTGTGAGGAGCGGCTGGGAGAGCTGGGAAGGGGCTGGAGGTGTCCAGGGATGGAGCTGGGAAGGGGCTGGAGCCCCAGGAAGAGCTGTGGGAGCTGGGAAGGTTCTGGAGCCCCAGGAAGAGCTGTGGGAGCTGGGAAGGTTCTGGAGCCCCAGGAAGAGCTGTGGGAGCTGGGAAGGGGCTCAGCCTGGAGCAAAGGGGGATCAGGGGGCCCTTGTGGCTCTGCACAAGTCCCTGGCAGGAGGGGACAGCCGGGGGGTCGGGCTGTGCTGCCAGGAACAGGGACAGGAGGAGAGGGAACGGCCTCAGGCTGGGCCAGGACAGGCTCAGGCTGGGCCAGGACAGGCTCAGGGGGGGCCAGGACAGGCTCAGGCTGGGCCAGGACAGGCTCAGGATGGGCCAGGACAGGCTCAGGGTGGGCCAGGACAGGCTCAGGGTGGGCCAGGACAGGCTCAGGGGGGGCCAGGACAGGCTCAGGATGGGCCAGGACAGGCTCAGGCTGGGCCAGGACAGGCTCAGGTGGATTTTTGGGAGATTCCTTCCCCAGGAGGGTTGGAAAGCACTGGATGGGCTGCTCAGGGCAGGGGTGGAGGCTCCATCTCTGGAAGTGTTCAGAAAATGTGTGGACGTGACACTTGAGGCCACGGGGTGGGAGTGGATGGGGTGGATGGTGGGACTGGGTGATGTCCGAGGTCTTCTCCAGCCTCAGGGGTTCCATGACCACCCATGGCAGGTGTGGAGCAGTAACCGGTGCTTTCCCACCCCCAGCCAGTCGTGTCCCATCACCATGTTCTGGAAGTTTGATTTGAACACAACGTCACACGTGGACAAGCTGCTGGACAAGGAGGATGTGACCCTGGAGGAGCTGATGGACGAGGATGACGTCCTGCAGGAATGCAAGGCCCAGAACCGGCGGCTGCTGGACTTCCTGTGCCAGCAGCACTGCATGGAGCAGCTGGTCACCCTCATCACCCACGAGCCCCCCGTGGACATGGACGAGAAGGTCCGATTCAAGTAGGTATTGGATCCCTGCTGCCCCGGGATGTCCCAGCAGGGACCCCGGGGTGGACACAGAGATTCCACCTGGCCGCTGTCCCCACTGCCACCTCCTGGGGGGGACAGGCTTGGAGCTCTGGGGGTGTTCCAGCATTTGGGGTTTGCAGGGAATTGTCAGGATTCGTTGCTTTGGTTTTGATGGTTTAACATTGAGTTGGTCTCAAAAAAAAAAATTCCTGTTTCAAATAATGTCTGCAGAAAAACATGTGTTAGATACTCAAATCTCAAATAATGTCCAAAAAATAAAAAATCCCATTTCAAATAATGTCTGCAAAAAAATATGAGTAATGTCTCAGATACTCAAATCTCAAATAATGTCCAAAAAATAAAAAATCCCATTTCAAATAATGTCTGCAACAAACATAAGTAATGTCTCAGATACTCAAATCTCAAATAATGTCCAAAAATTCAAAAATCCTATTTCAAATAATGTCTGCAAAAAAACCATAATTCAAATAATGTCTCAGATACTCAAATCTCAAATAATGTCCAAAAAATAAAAAATCCTATTTCAAATAATGTCTGCAAAAAACATAAGTAATGTGTCAGATATTCAAATCTCAGATAATGTCCAAAAATTAAAAAATCCTATTTGAAATAATGTTTGCTAAAAGACAGAGCTCAAGTATTGTCTCAGATATTCAAATCTCAAATAATGTCCAAAAAATAAAAAATGCTATTTCAAATAATGTCTGCAAAAAACATAAGTAATGTGTCAGATATTCAAATCTCAAATAATGTCCAAAAATTTAAAAATCCTATTTCAAATAATGTCTGCAAAAAACATAATTCAAATAATGTCAGATATTTCAAATACTGTCTGCAAAAAAAACGTAATTCATATAATGTGTCAGATATTCAAATCTCAAATAATGTCCAAAAATTAAAAAATCCCATTTCAAATAATGTCTGAAAAAAACCATAACTCAAGTATTGTCTCAGATATTCAAATCTCAAATAATGTCCAAAAAATAAAAAATCCTATTTCAAATAATGTCTGCAAAAAAACCATAATGTAAATAATGTCTCAGACACTCAAATCTCAAATAATGTCCAAAAATTAAAAAATCCTATTTCAAATAATGTCTGCAAAAAACATAAGTAATGTGTCAGATATTCAAATCTCAAATAATGTCCAAAAATTAAAAAATCCTATTTGAAATAATGTTTGCAAAAAGACAGAGCTCAAGTAATGTCTCAGATATTCAAATCTCAAATAATGTCCAAAAAATAAAAAATCCTATTTCAAATAATGTCTGCAAAAAGACAGAGCTCAAGTATTGTCTCATATTCAAATCTCAAATATTATGTCCAAAAAGTAAAAAATCCCATTTCAAATGTCTGAAAAAAAACCATAATTCAAATAATGTCTCATATTCAAATCTCAATTAATGTCCAAAAATTAAATAATCCTATTTCAAATAATGTCTGCAAAAAACATAATTCAAATAATGTGTCAGATATTTCAAATAATGTCTGCAAAAAAACATAAGTAATGTGTCAGATATTCAAATCTCAGATAATGTCCAAAAAGTAAAAAATCCCATTTCAAATGTCTGAAAAAAAACCATAATTCAAATAATGTCTCAGATACTCAAATCTCAAATAATGTCCAAAAAATAAAAAATCCTATTTCAAATAATGTCTGCAAAAAACATAAGTAATGTGTCAGATATTCAAATCTCAGATAATGTCCAAAAATTTAAAAATCCTATTTGAAATAATGTCTGAAAAAAAACATATCTCAAGTATTGTCTCAGATATTCAAATCTCAAATATTATGTCCAAAAATTAAAAAATCCCATTTCAAATAATGTCTGAAAAAAAACATAAATAATGTCTCAGATACTCAAATCTCAAATAATGTCCAAAAAATAAAAAATCCTATTTCAAATAATGTCTGCAAAAAACATAATTCAAATAATGTGTCAGATATTTCAAATAATGTCTGCAAAAAAACATAAGTAATGTGTCAGATATTCAAATCTCAAATAATGTCCAAAAATTAAAAAATCCTATTTCAAATAATGTCTGCAAAAAACCATAATTCAAATAATGTGTCAGATATTTCAAATAATGTCTGCAAAAAAAATGTAATTCATATAATGTGTCAGATATTCAAATCTCAAATAATGTCCAAAAATTAAAAAATCCTATTTCAAATAATGTCTGAAAAAAAACCATAATTCAAATAATGTCTCAGATACTCAAATCTCAAATAATGTCCAAAAAATAAAAAATCCTATTTGAAATAATGTCTGCAAAAAACATAAGTAATGTGTCAGATATTCAAATCTCAAATAATGTCCAAAAATTTAAAAATCCTATTTGAAATAATGTTTGCAAAAAGACAGAGCTCAAGTAATGTCTCAGATATTCAAATCTCAAATAATGTCCAAAAATTAAAAAATCCTATTTCAAATAATGTCTCCAAAAAAACCATAACTCAAGTATTGTCTCAGATATTTAAGTCTCAAATATTATGTCCAAAAAATAATCCTGTCCCAAATAATGTCTCCAAGAAGTCTTACCCTGCTGTTCCCTCAAAATCTGAAGCCCCTTGAGTAGGTTTTTATAGGAGAGGGAAGCACAAGAGGTAGAAATCTCTGAACTCAGTGGGTTTCCAATCCCACAGAACAAGGTGAGCTGGAAAATGAATAAAATTTGGGATATTTTCAATATGCTGCATGTCCAAATCCTGCTGATTTCAGGGATCAACAGCTCCGGGCAGGCCCTGCCTCTGCTCAGACATGAGCTCCTCACAGGGATTTCCTTCTCACCAAAGTTGTTTTTTGTGCATTTTTAACCAAATGTATACTCAAAAATATTGACATTTGGGGAGTTTGTTTGCCTTTGTGAAGTTTATATAAAAATAAAAGGCTGCTCTGACTATAAATAAATAAAACTGGGCAGGTTTTTCCTGGTGGGAATGGATCAGGGCAGGGTTGGTGTTGATGGAAAGGCACAGAGGTGTTCAGGTCTGGTTTTGGGTGAGAGTTGATAACGGTGTGAGGTGGCTGTTCCCAGGTGAGTGAATGCCTGGGAATATGTGGGGTAATAATTTGGAATATCCTGTGCCTGCTGTGCAGGGATCCTGCTCTGGAAGGTGAGTTTGGGACCCACCTGCAGAGCTGCCCCAGCCCTGGGCCAGCAGGAGAAGGACCTGGGGCAAGTCCAGAGGAGCTCCCAGGGCTCCAGCCTGGGTGGGAGAGCTGGGAATGTTCCCCAGGAGAGGAGAAGGGTCCAGGGAGAGCTTCCAGAACATTGCAGGGCCTGAAGGGGCTCCAGGAGAGCTGGGAATGTTCCCCTGGAGAGGAGAAGGCTCCAGGGAGAGCTCAGAGCCCCTGCAGGGCCTGAAGGGGCTCCAGGAGAGCTGCAGAGGGACTGGGAGGGAAACTCCCTGGAGATCTGCCCTCTGCAAAGCTCTCAGAGAGTGAAGGAGTTCCAGGGTGGCACAGGGTGCCCAGAGCAGCTGGGGCTGCCCCTGCATCCCTGGCAGTGGCCAAGGCCAGGCTGGAGCCTGGGGCTGGGAGCAGCCTGGGCCAGTGGGAGGTGTCCCTGCCATGGCAGGGGGGCACTGGGGGGCTCGGGGGTCCCTTCTATCCCAAACCATCCCGGGATTCCCTGACTGAAACCAAGCAGGAGAAGAATGAGGGAAGGGGGGACAAGGACAGAGGTTTCAAGAAGGAAATTCCCACTGGGACTCCGAGGGCTGATGTTCATGGAGCATTTTCCTGGCAGCACTTGGGACTCCCAGGCAGAGCAGGCCCAGAAGTGTCTCCAAAGCCTGGAGAGGGGAAGGAGGGTTTGAGCTCATTGGAAACCAGGGAAGCTTTTGGGATAAATAAAGGCTGAGCAGGAAGAATGAACTGTGTAAATCCAGATGGAATCCCACTTTTGGCTCTTCAGGAAAGGTTATGGAAGTTTGTGGAGTGGGACTTGATAGCTTTGGAAGGATCTGGGGCTCAGGATGTGTGGAGAGGGGATTATCCAACTGAAACAGTGGGATGGAGGTTCATAAAGTTCAGAGGAGAAACTGCAAAGAGGAAAAGTGCCCAGTCAATCCTCATCCAAGGAGAACTTGTGGAATTAAACACCTGAAAGGAGGCTGGAGCAGGAAAGCAGAGTGTGAATCTTGGATCTGCCAATGAGCTGCTGATTCCAGGGGTGAGGGAAGCTCAGCTTCCAGGGGTCCGAGGGGGAGTTCGGGAGAGGGGAGCTCCCTGCAGCCTGGAATCCTCCAGGGCTGGGCTGTGGTGCCAGAACGGGAATGGTGAGGGTTGGATCACACTGGGGCTGTGAGAGCTGCAGGAGCAGAACCTGCTGCGACAGGAGAGCTCCCATTTCCCTTGGGTTCATGGGATGTGTGTCCCAGGGAGGCTCCACACGCAGATCTCTGGGAGTTGTGGGTGCTTTTTGCATGGAATGAGCCAGGAAAAAGAGAAATGAGTCCTGGTGTCCCCTCGGGGCTGGAAGGGATGGAAGGGCTGGAAGGTCCCTCTGGGGTGGTGTCCCTCAGCTCCTGGGATAGCACCAGGGCTGGAGCAGCAGTAGCAGGGCCTGTGGGGCATTTGGAACCCTCAGGGCTGGAACTGCAAGAACAGGAGGAGGCTGCTGGGGAAGGGAATGGTGCAGGAAAAGGTCAAAGCTCCCAACTGGCCTGGAAGTGTTTTAGTGGCTTGTGAGGAGTGCAGAGACCGGGAAAGATCCTGGTGTAGAAACCTGGTTTGGTCACAAGTCAGTAATGACCCACTGTGGGAAATGTCCTCAGCACAGGGAGTCAGTCGTGGGTGGGATAGAAGGGACCCCCGAGCCCCCCCAGTGCCCCCCTGCCATGGCAGGGACACCTCCCACTGGCCCAGGCTGCTCCCAGCCCCAGGCTCCAGCCTGGCCTTGGCCACTGCCAGGGATGCAGGGGCAGCCCCAGCTGCTCTGGGCACCCTGTGCCACCCTGGAACTCCTTCACTCTCTGAGAGCTTTGCAGAGGGCAGATGTCCAGGGAGTTTCCCTCTCACCTGTGGTCGCTCCGGGTGTGTCACTGCAGGTATCCCAACACGGCCTGCGAGCTGCTGACCTCGGACGTGCCGCAGATCAACGACAAACTGGGTGGGGACGAGACCCTGCTCAACATCCTCTACGATTTCCTGGACCACGAGCCCCCCCTGAACCCCCTCCTCGCCAGCTTCTTCAGCAAGACCATCGGGAACCTCATTGCACGGAAAACAGAACAGGTAGGGATGGGATCTGTCCCGTCCAGGGAATTCTCCAGCTCTGCCGGTGTTGTGTCCTTGCTGTGAGCTCATGGTGCTCCTGGAGTTGTGTTTAAGCTCGGAGGTGAAATGGAGTCTCTGGGAAGTTCTCAGAATTCCTCAGTGCAGCGAGATGCTGGCGTGGACAGACTCTTACCGGAGTTTTGGGTTGGGGTCTGCCACAGCCAGGATATCCCCATGGCACAGCTAAAGCTTCACTTTTCATACCAAGGCGTTTTGAGGATCATCAGAGTCATCCCAATCCATAAACCAGGCCTCAGGCTCATCCTTATGGAAGGACTGCTGAGGCACGGGCTGGACAGGGATTCAGGAATATTCACATCCCAGTAAATACTGAGGTTTTAAACGCTGCCTGGTAGGGAGCTTGAGAGGAAAGGAAAATCCCCCAACTTCACTTATTTCCATGGCTTTGGGAGGGGAGAAAAGTTGGCTGAAAAGATCTGATTTGGTGTTGCCTTTGAATAAGAATCATTCTCGTGTTCCCTGGAGGGTTCCAAACCAAGGTCGGTGGTTGAGACACAAAGGAGAAGCTCCGGGAGCTGTGGGAGAGCTGAGGGGGATTTGTGAGGGAGCCATGACGGAGCTGTGAGGGAGCCGTGAGGAAGATGTGAGGGAGATGTGAGGGAGATGTGAGGGAGATGTGAGGGAGCCATGACGGAGCTGTAAGGGAGATGTGAGGGAGATGTGAGGGAGCTGTGAGGGAGCTGTGAGGGAGCCGTGAGGGAGATGTGAGGGAGCTGTAAGGGAGATGTGAGGGAGATGTGAGGGAGATGTGAGGGAGCCGTGAGGGAGATGTGAGGGAGCTGTGAGGGAGCTGTGAGGGAGATGTGAGGGAGCTGTGAGGGAGATGTGAGGGAGCCGTGAGGGAGATGTGAGGGAGATGTGAGGGAGATGTGAGGGAGCTGTGAGGGAGATGTGAGGGAGCCGTGAGGGAGCT